GTGAATCACAATTTTAAAATAATGAGTGAATAATTCTTTCCCACAAGTTCTCTTTTCATTCAATGAAGCATAAAACTTCATTAGAAATTAATTTCTTCATTTTATTAGTCCATTTTATTAACTTAATCCAACATAGCATTGACCTCTGTACTGCAAGTAGCTAACTTTCTAGAGTTAGGCAGGGTTCTAGATTTATGTATCTCTGATGGAGTATATGCAGACACATTATTACTTCAAAAGTTATTTTTAGTGGATACCCATATTTGAGTAGATGATCCATTTTATTTTAAACTGTATTTATTTTGTCTATCAGCTTGCACACTCAAGAAAACTTATTAAAGAAAATGCACTGCATTTTCTTTAATAAGTTTACATGCACTTAAACTAATATGTGCATGTTTGTGAATGAATGTGCATATGTGTGTATTTGAATATGAATGTGTATGTAGAATTCTCTGATGCTTAGATGATTAAACATTGAGCTATTAACAAAATCACTCACAACTCTTATATAAATATTGATTGCTTGCAAGCATTCAAACCTTTGTTTGGACAAGACTATAAGACATATTGGCTGAAACCTTGTGATGATGTCAACAGCCTTATTAAGGAGGAGGCCAACCTTTTTCTCAAAATATTGCAAATGGCTAAATATCAGAATTTATTTTGAAATCCCTTTTGACTCAAACAGTGAACTTTCCAGCATTTCATGATATACATGCATACATACATATATATGTGTATGTGTGTGTGTGTGTGCATTTAGGCAGCATATCTTCATTCAAGCATGTTTGGTTGAATAATCTCAACACATGTCTATTTTTATTTTAATCCTCTCAAATTCACAGATCAATTTCTTAGTGCTTTTTACAAAAGTGAGTAAGAAAGATGCCATAGTTTTGGTTATTTATTTTATTTTCCCAAGTGCTTTCAATCTCATCCAAGATCATCATCAGGGGTGAATTGCTAAGACAAAAATTAGTGTAATTGATAGTTGTAGATTTTTTGTAAATGCACATGCATGCACTCCGTTATAGTCAATTTATGTTAAGAGTATGTAAGGGAGATAATTTAGTTTAATTTTTGAGCATCTCAAAATATTTGTTATTATAGACATTTTAAAATATTGTTGCAATACTCATAATTAATTTATTTAGTATTGGTTTCATTTTTTTTATAAAGACTTTAAAGTTTTTTTTTATTTTCATGGGGAGTATACCCATATTGCTAATTAATATTTCTCTAAAATGTGATTGTGGACAGGAATGTTCTTTTAAATGTTGTGCAATAGAGCTTGAATCCAACATGTGTAAAGTAAGCCTTCTTGTTTTTTGTTGTTGTTTTGAAACCAACATATAATTTTATGTTTTTGTCAGAGATAAATCTCCCAAAGGACATTTAAACAGATATACAATATTATTTTTTTGCAAAACATTAGTTGACAGAGAACAATTATTGTGGATGATTAAGTTGGTTCTATTAAGTGTAGTATATAATTAGTTTTATTTTTTTTATTAGAATCAGTGGGGGATATATTAGTACTTATGAGTTTTATTTAAAGAGTGTATTTAACTGTGGTATAGTAGGTTGCTATGTTTAGGGTTATTTGCAGAAGTATTATATTCTTTTTGGTTTGTGTTAATATTTCTAATAGCTAATCTAATTTGTTCATCAACAATGTACTCAAAAAAGTCATTATTAATGAGAGATTGTTTAATGTCTTTTAATTCCAAGTAGAAAATTTTTTTCATGGAAGTGTTAACTTTTGCACGGTATATTAAATATTGTATAATCACTTTTACAATAGTCAGGACATTCACTTTTATAGTTGAGAGTGCATGTGTTTATGCTAGTTGTTTCTTTTTTTGTTTGGGAATGTAGTAAATGTATTATTATTAGTTTCTATCAATATATCAAGAAAAGGATTTTTTTATTGTTAAGTTCATATGTGAACTTAAGAATAGAGTTGTTTTGGAAGTTTTTTATAGTTTATATATTTTGTTTATGTTTTTAACTAAGATTGTTAATATTGTCTACATATGATGGAGGATTTTTAGTGATATTAAATACCTTATTTTTCCATGTAGAAATTGCTAAATATTGATTCTAGACCTGAAGCCATGGAAACGGCATCACGTTCTACATATATATTATTTTGATTGTCATAGAAAGGAACCTTAGTAGTGCAAGTCAAGAATAGTTTCCATAATATGTTAGGTTTAATTTTTAATGGGGGAGAGATAGATTGTTGTAAATATTCATTATAATTTTATCAACCATTTCCCTAACTGGGACATTGGTAAATAAACTTTCAATGTCAAGTGAAGCTATGGTTTCATTATTAGGTTTTTGTGTTTTTAAGATTTGGATTAGTTCATGAGTTGATTTAATGCTATATTTACTCAGTATGTATGGTGTAAGGAGTTGGTTAATGATTCTGGTTAATTGATAAAATGGAGTGGGGGTTTGGTATATGATAGGCCAGAGAGTGAAGTTAGGTTGATGTATTTTTATAGTTCTATACATGTATCCAGGTTTATAGTCACTAATTATTTTGGGAAGTTTTAAATTGTCTTGTTCTGCATTGTTGGATGTGATTAGTTTCTTGAGTTTAAATTTCAGTTGGTTCATAGGATATTTGTAGACTTTTCAAAATTTGGTGTGGTCAACAAGTATTTGTTGTAATTTTGAATTATAATCAGATTTGTTTAATACAACAACGATATTGGTTTTATTCACTTTTAAAAAAAAAATATATGAGTATGGTTATGTAGCTCTTTTAGTGGCATTAAATACCTTATTTTTCCATGTAGAAGTTACTAAATATTGATTCTAGACATCTAGATTCTTTGGCAGCAATTTTTTTGTTAGAAACTTGGACAATTTTTTTCTTTTTTCATGCCTGTCTTCAACTTTGCGTAGGTCTGAATCCCTGGTTTTGTTTCTATTAGTTGTTTTTGAAGTTTTTTTATGTTTTGATATAACATTTCACTTTCAGTTTTTTATCCAATCTATTGTATTGTCTGTAAAAATGATAGTTAGGTCCAAGGTTGAGTAATTCCTTTTGGTGGTCTGTTAGTTCATAGTTAAAGATGTTAATGAATTTATCTTTATTATTTGAAAGATGAATAGATCCTTTGTATAGTGTATTAAGTTTATTTAATGTTCAGATGATGTTGAATTTGAGTTATTAGCAATTTCTTTGAGTTTATGTAGAATTTCTTTAAACTGTTCAGTAATGGGTGCCAGTTTTTGTTGTGGATCTCTTGTGCTCTTTTATTAAGAGTTTTTAAGTTGTCATTTGCTACTTCAATCTGCCTCTTCACAAGCTCACGTTTAAATTCCCAATTTTGTTATTATGATGAAAGAAATAGCCAAAAGTACAGCATCTTTCTTACTCAGTTTTGTAAAAGCACTAAGAAATTGATCTGTGAATTTGAGAGAATTAAAATCAAAATAAATAGATATAATATGTCTAGATTATTAAACATATATATATATATATATATATATATATATATATATATATATATATTTTAAATAAAAACAGACCACTTTAAGGTTCCATGTAATAAATTATTTCACCACAGCCCTTTTAAAGGACTGCGGATCATCAGATTTTACTTCCAAACAAAAAATGAAAAGAAATTTACACATTTATGACAGGCCGTATTAAACATATGCAAATTAATGAATTGAGGAAGTGACGGGGGAGAGAGAAGACATGAGTGAGTTAGCAGATATTGACACATTTAAACAGTTAACTTAACGAAAGTTATATATTGATATCGAAGGGTAGAGAAGAAAAAACACATAGAGAGAAAAAGAGAGAAGGAAGTTATGAGAGAAGGTGTCACTAATTTTCTTTGTAAAAAAAAAGGCTAGAAACAGACGCTGTTATTTTGTTTTACTTTGAAAGTGTTATTTTGGGGGTTCATAAAGATTATAATGTTTGATATAAATTTGAATGTCTCTAAACTGTCTACAAATAATTTAATTTGATGTTTGTTAGTGATTTAAATTTTTTAAAATTTTGGGGATTTTCTATGAAATAGTCGATTAGAAAAATATTTATAGAAAGTACATTAAAAGAATAAAATTTTATTTTAAAATATAAGTTTACTTCTAGTAATCTTTTTTTTAATCTCTTTAAAAATTCTTATTATTGATTATTAAGTTGACATCTCTATCTGTTTGAATTTTGTTCATGAATTTAACTTGTGACTGTTTCTAGATAGGTAATCTCTTTTACTTACATTTTAGTTAAGTTAATATGGGGTAATATTTGAAGGTAATATTAAAGATCTTGCTTTGTCATATACTGTATACACACCCATGGAAATATCACATATAGAAACAATCACGAGTAAGATGTTTTCTCAGGTGACACCCTTCATGGCCCAGTTGGTCTCAAGCACGAAAGTATCTCACAGTTTCTCCAGCAAAGGAACACACAGGTTTGTATCCTTCTGGAAGATGCATCTTTTTATCAAATATTCTAGATGATAGACAAAAATAAATAAATATACTCTTTAATAAATAAAGAGAGCATCTACTCAAACATGGGTATCTAATAAAAATAACATTTAAAATGATAAAAAATCTGTTGGATTAATAAATAAAAAAATCCATTACTTCTGTATACATGTATATATATGTGTGTTGTGGAGTGTGTATGCATATATTTTCTTTATCTGATATTCTGAACATTTGATAATATTCATATAAAATATATAATATTTTTACATATAACTTTTACTGTAATATTTAATTTTGATTAGATTTGAAAATGTAATGAACCTGATTCCAAATGTAATGAACCTAGTTCAAAATGTGTATGACTGAAAATTATTTAGAAAAATCATTAAAATAATTGTTACATAAATTGTTACATTGTTAAAAGGTAAAAAAACTGAAATATCAAAAGAAAAAATTTGAGAAAACTGTGATAAACTTAATTATCACATGATTTGTTATCTGAAATAAAGCCTGTCACCTACTGGAAAACATTGCGAATGATAGGCATATGGTAAAGTTGACTTTATGATAAACAGGAATATCACAGCCAGGAAAATATTCTGGTGCATCTGCTCTTCGATGTTCAATCTTTGTGCTTGCAATAAAGTTCAAATGTTGATCTCTTCTTGGCTGTTGCTTCACCTCAGATGGAGTGAAGAGCACAGAGGTTTCTACCTCCATCTTCTCTATGTTTTCCTCTGATCCATCCACTTTCACCTGATCATCTGCATCAGGACTTTTCAAGGTAGCATGATCCTCAACAATTTTAATACTACTTGAAACAGGATCAGAACCTTTCTCATCAGACTTGCTGCTTATTTTTGATGATGCTGATGAGGAGGCAGTGGGGTTCTGAAATTGTTCTTCCATTGGTTCACAACTTGAGCAAAAAAAAAAACACGAAAAAACCTGGTTCAGGAAAAAAAGAAAGAATTAATATTGTTATTGGATTTTCATGGTGGAAAGTCAAGTTATTAGTAAAAAAATAAAGATAGAGAACAGACTATAAAATGAATATATTTTAAAAATTATTTTATACTAATTTATTTGGACTGGTTTCCTCATTTTTATTGTTATAGTCCTAACTTTTCAAGTTTCTAACCTAATGACTTCGTCAGAAGTCTGTCATATTTGGTAATATTCTGAGAATTTCAAACTGAACTCTATTCAAGTCACTGGAATAAATTGTTCTTGTATCACTCTCCATGCTATGGGAGATAACTCGTATTAGTTAATACTGAGTTAATTCATCCTTATGTCCATTTCATTAAAATACAGAAGGTTGAAGGTTATAATGGTTGAAATAAAATATTGTGAATATAGCAAGTAAAATTTTACGTGTTATATTCACAATGTTTTAATGAAGAATCCAGTGTATTAAAATGATAATTCCTCATCTCATAAATTAATACAAATTTTAAAAGTTACCTCATCTAAAAAGAACAAGGAGAAAAGAAAAAATATTTTTCAAATGAATACTATATCAATTAAGGCTTTTTGAATATGTTTTTAATATGTTGCCATCATTAAAGAAAAACAGAAAATGTCTTCTTGCTAATATATTCTGTCTATCAAAGCAGACAAGAGAATTTCACTTGTGAAAAATACATTTGAGACAGATAATTCGAAAATAAATATGAAAAATGGTTTTGTTCTATTTTTGTTAGATGCAAAAGAAATAAGATATTTATTCTTTAACAAGAAAATACAAAGTCAATATAAAAAAGCTACTAAATGTTATATTTATTATAAAAGTGATTTAAAAAGAAACCAAAAGAATGAGTAAACTTACCAAAATGAATTATAAAATTTTTATATTTATTCATATTTTTAAATTATATCAATTGTATTTCTTTGTTGGTTAAAATGTTAACTTATTTAGCTAAGAATAAAAACTGTGTATGTGATATTGTTTTTGGTGGTAATTAAAAAATCAGTGTTTTACCAAATTTGAATCACATCTATCACAGATTGAACAAAATATTATTGTATAAGTGACTAATTGTTAGAAATGACAATTTCTGTTGAAAAGATTTAGCTGTTTATTTATTTTTTTCATTTCAGAGAAGCTGTTTTTTTAATAATTAAAATATTCTAGAAGGTTTTGCATGACTGTTTTAATATCACTATCTCTTCATTTCTTTAAAATTTTAAATTGCCTTTCTCAAACTCTCTTAACCAATTCTTACATTTTGTGGTTCTCAGAAGCAACTGAAATTAATTCTGACTTTCCTTTTATACAACCTAAATATGACTTCACTGTATTTTATTCTGATCTACCTACAAAGGATGCTCCAAAAGTAATGGTTCCTATTCATTTCCAGGCAAATTACAACAGATACAAGGAATGCAATAACATCATGGGATAGAATGGGGTTTCAACTTCAAATATAGTCATTGCTATTATTTCCATCAGTGACAAGCAAAAATGGTTCATGATATATATTACTGTCACCACTGCAGAAATACATTACCCAACCTGCATGCATCCACTGTTTGATATCTGTAAATATCCTGTAATTATTGAAAATTTCAATATGTATAATTTTTCTTAAATGTGAAATTCAGTGATTTTTATATGAGATGTTATTTTGTGACACTGTCTCTCAGCTTCTATCAGTACTAAAAGGGTAAAAAAATATAGGTTATTGGCAGGAAGATTCAGTTGTTGCTGTCATACGATTAATAACCACCTCTGACTTTGTGAAGCAATATAATAAAATAAGAGACATTATTTTCTGAGTAACTATCATTTATCATTTATATTTACTATATAGCAAAATTATCTGTCTATATTTCTAAGATGAGGTATCATGTACACTACATTATTCGGACTATTTTCCTCATCTTTGTCGCCATATTTATTACAACGTTTAGAGAGAAATGTTCTTTTTATTACTAATAACAGGTTATAGTTTAAATTTTGTGTCTAGAGAGCCTGAAATCACATCGCCTGTTTATATTTGTTTCTTTCTAATATATAACTAAATCTTATTCCCGACATAAGATTTAGTTATAATTTATCCAATGAAGAAAATCTCATTGTTGTTGATGGTTTGTGAAACTAACAAACTCAGGCACAATGAAAGAGACTCACTGAAGTATTTCATGTCAAATTTGGCAAATATATATAAATATTGAAACAGATACATACACACACATACATGCATAATTGAACTGATGTAATTTTATAAAATATTATAAAACAAAACCTAAGGAATAACAGAAATTGATTTTTTTCAGCGACTTTTGTTCGAAGTATTTTGACTGCTAGGCAGATTTTATTTTTGCAGGACTATGGTTTGGTTCTATTTTCAAATAAACTAAAAACATTAAAAACTAACCTTTGAACCCAAAGTCTCCTGGGACGAGAGGTAAAGGTTTTCTCAACCAAGTCCGTGCATATATATGCATAGGTTGTATTTTTCAGTGCACCCACGTCGCTATTGAATGGGATACAAGGTCCAAAGTTTAAAGTGGGTTTACCGCTCGGCAATACCGTGGAAAAATTGCCCATGCCTTGACACTTCCCCTTTTTGGAGATGCCTCAGGCACCAAACAATAAACTCAGCACCCTCCCGAAGAAGAGCTACTGCCGAGAGGGAAGAAAAGGGGCTTTTGGGCTTAGAATTATTTGAACTTCCACGATCCCCAAAAAGGCCGTGGGTAAAGATAAAGAACAAGCTAGTCTCTTTCATTTAGTGAGTTCAACAGTAATTGGGTGTTCTACACTCGTGACTTTCTGATTTTACAAGTTCTGTTAAGTATAAACAAGTTCTAAAATTTTAAAGTAAAGTAAAGTAAAGACCGTTAGCTCTGAATAAAATTACATTATTACAGTGAAAACTAAACATGTCATTAAAATTCTTCTTATACCAACAATCAAACCTATTTTAAATTTATCAAACAAGAAGCGGAAGCCCATCCGTACACAAATATAATAAGTGATCATTGTAAAACAAAATATTTTCTATTTTTATTCATAAAAAATTAAAAAAATGATCAGATGATTTTCAAAGATAGTTTTTAAATGCAATTTGATAAGAAAAATAAAATTAAGAAACTCACCGTTATTTTCAGTGAATGTCAAAATATTTAAAAAATCAAACGTTTTCAGATGTTACCTACAGTCATGCAAATATTAAATCGGTTCTATTCAGCGAAAGAAAAGAGATACATAAACATGTGAATCTTGAGAGAGAGAGAGAGAGAGAGAGAGAGAGAGAGAGAGAGAGAGAGAGAGAGAGAGAAGAATGGTAGGGTAGGAAAGAAACAGGATTGAAATACGACGTTACCCTTTTCTCGTTGCTATAGCGACAGTGACGCTATGACGAAGTTGTTGTCGTGACAGTTTATGGTTTGTTTCTGATTTGGCGTTATTTCGGGTTTTGTGGGCGGAGATTCTGTTAAGTCGTATAGAGAGAGGTGAGACCACCGGTGTTCTCGATAAAGGTCGAAGGGTTGGGGCGCTGTTTTAGCTGATTGTGACATGTATGCTATAGAAATATGTATGAAAAGGAACAGTTTGTGTTTTTTAACAGTAACCAGGTGAAATACATCTGAGAAAATAAGAACATTCATCAAGACACAACACATTAAAATTCATAATCTGTGTTTACATGAAAACTGGGAAATATGAAATAAGAAGCTTATGTATCGTTAATTTGCCAAGTAGAAGGCTTTGCCTGCTTTACTACTACTTTAGTCAGCATTCAGAATCGTGGTTTTGACTTGAACTCGAACACAAACAGTATAATATTTGCAACTGGTAGGATATTGTAGTGGACCATTATGTTGACTATTGGCTTTCCTTTGCAAAATCACATCGGCGGTCACCATATGTAGAGGACCGGGGGTGAAGATGTAAAGAAAACACGTCCGTTTATATTTCCTGCTACAATAGAATGTTGGACTTGGATTAAGTCCAACTGAAGATAATGAAGAAACAAACAAGACCGATAAACAATGTATTAAACAAAACATTTACAAAGCACATAGACTGTTAACATTGTGTTTGTGTGTGCGTGTGTGAACGTACGTATTTTGGTGAATGTTCGTACGTACGTGTATGTTGGTAATGATATTTAACGTCTGACCGCAAGGTCAAGATGATAATTCTCTGGGACTACATTTTTGCAGCGAGAATAGAGAAGAAAGAGATAAAGAGGCAAACCCGTGTTTGTTTTTATAGATAACGTAATCACGTGACAGGATCACGGAGCTTTGGCGGGAAACTTGACTTAGTCACGCACTGGAAAAATATATTGTGTGTGGGTGGATTGCAACGCCCAACTTGTGTGTTAGAAGCTGATATTTGCTGAAAATTATTTACTAAGCTAAGAAGGCTGTTGCAGACTGGCGAATGTGTATTACTATTAGGTATCAGAAGGTATTTTATCGATCGGGTCAATGTGATGTTTAAATTCGTCCACAACAAATTTAGAAACATGAATATCGAAGGCAGATCATTCAAGAATCAAGCAAGATAAATCAAAGCGAAAACAACCTAGTTAAAGGTATAACAATAACATAGATTTATATAGAATAAAAATACACAAATGAATCAAAGGTTGTTGAATAAGTGTGAATGGTTGAATTGAATCATGTAGAATATTTATGTCAAGTTTGAATGTGTGTGAAACTGTTATTAAGATTTGTGTGTGAAATTAAACTAAGTGAATGTTCACGTACAAAAAATGTCTTTTGTGGCAGTTCAGTTAATAGTGATTGAATATTTATTATGTAAATTACATAATTCTGGCACAAGGCCTAAAAGGGGGAGGGTTTGAGGCTGGTCTTAACTAACATCCTATACCTAGCTAATCCGATTCACGACCCATTCATACATTACAATTTCCACATTCACCACAAGACTTGTTCGTCACCAATCAATCTCCATACACCATAAAAAATTTAATGATAATAAATTATTATAACATAAAATTTAATGATGCTAAAATATATATAAAAAAAATGAATGGGGAGGGAGAACCCAATAATAAACTAAATGTCAACACAAAATAAACTAAACATAACTGATGTTAGTAGGGCCCGTCCAACCCTCAAAACCGAGAGGCCACTGTATTCTGCCCCTGGGACAAAATCAAGCAGCTCTCTCGCTAAGGGTGGGAAAAGGATAAAAAAATATACAGACATGGAAAAATAAAAAGCTGACCCAGTCGAGATAAAAAGGGGCCAAAACAAAAGTTGGGGAGGTTGGGAATCTCAACCTGGATCATAAACCAAAGATGTGGCCGGGAACAGGCCAGGAACAACACTTACTCACATTAACTAGGTACACAAAAGCTTGTCTAACCTAACCAAGGGGAGGGCTCCACAGGAAACCACCCCGATGTGACGTAGGTTGACCTAAAAGAGAAAATCAAGGCTAGCCCCGTTCAAACGAACCAAGCTCGCCTCTTTCACCCACCTTTCGCTGAAGACTGTCGAATGCAAGCGTTTTCTATCAGTTCTAATCTTCATCTTGAGCTGATGCTCAAAGAATCGGATCAGATCCTGATGAGAAAGACGGTTGCCTCGCAAGACTTCCTCCTGTCGCGTCGTCCAAATCACCATTCGGGCCGTGGCCAGCAGCGTCAGAAACACCATTCGTTTCACCCCAGAATACGGGGGCGACACATTGTCACACGCGTATGCGCGATCAATGAGCACGAGCTTTTCGGGAGCGAGACGAGCCGTCAACTCGCCGACATGGTCCCATAAAGGGCGGACCCGAGGACAATGGTAGTAGGCATGCGAAGCCGTTTCCTCTAAACCAAGGCTACACCGTTCACAGTCTGGCAAATCCGCCAAGCCCCATATGATAACCTTGTCATTGAGAGGCAGCCGATTCCGAACCAATCGCCAGATAAGCAAAAACTCAGGGTTACTGAGGTAATCCGCTGCTGGCGCCCAAGACCAGTAAGAGCGAAACTCCTCCTCCGACAAGTCGAGCTCCTCACGTAGGGGATCCTTCGCGACCCCCTCCACTAGAAGACGATAGAAGACCTTCCTAGGCTGAGAAAGGTCACTGGACCGAGGAACAGCCAACAAGGCTGACCGACACTCGCGAAGGAAATCAGATTGATTCCGGGGTTTACGATGGCGTTCAACCCGCGTGATGGGGGGACTGATAGTAAGGAAAGGGAATGCGTCCCTAACAATCGCCGCCATAATCGAATCTCCTGTCAATGCGCGGCGTAGGAAAGCCAACCTCGAGGCAAGTTTGTGGCTCTCCAAGTGTGGCATTCCCAGCCCCCCATGACACGGACGTTGTGCACAGACTGTCTGTCGACCTGATGCTTGCGTCCCCTCCACAAAACGGAGGATAGCGAGCGCTCGAGCGGCTTCCTATGGTCTTTACAGAGAGGAAGTACGGACAATCGATAAAGAACAAGAGGGAAAACGTAAGTGGCACACGCCTCCGCCCTGCCCTTCACGGACAACCTCCATCGACGCCAAGTCTGACCGGCAGCGTCGACCTTTGCTCGTACTTCAGACCAATTTTTCTCCAGCTGGAGGTCGGGTCCAAACCACACTCCAAGAATGCGGACAGGACCGTCCGTCCAACCGAAGCGGCCCGGAAGATCGACCCCTTCCAGGCACCTAACCGCAAGCCGGACGACTTGTCGCGGTTTATCTTGGCCCCTGTCACATTTTCGTACCGATCAAGCGCCTTCAGTACCGTCTCAATATCCCAGCGGGACGACACAAAAGTAGATACGTCATCGGCGTACGCGGAAACTCTGGCTCGAGCCCCTCCAGGAACGGCGATTCCACGTAGGGCCGGACTGCACGCCCCGTCCTTCAGCCGGCGAAGGAGAGGCTCCAACGCCAAAGCATAAAGTAGGGGTGACAGTGGACAACCCTGACGGACCGACCTAGACAGCACAAAAGCACCCGACAGCTTCCCGTTCACCTGTGCCACAGCACTGGGGGATCGATACAGGAGGCTAATTCAGCGTCAGAAGTCGGGTGCGAATCCGGTGACCTGCAGGACAGCAACAAGGTAGCGATGGTCAACCCTATCAAATGCCTTGGACTGATCCAAATTGATCAGCGCGGCTTCATCGTCGTCTTTTACACCCTCTATGATCGTGCGGATCAGATGCAGGTTGCTCTGAATTGTTCGGCCCCTCACAGAACAAGTCTGCTCAGGACCCAACAGAGACTCGGCAACTGACTGCAAACGCTCCTGCAGGATCTTGGCCAAAATCTTTAACTCTGTGTTTAGCAGAGTTATGGGCTAATTATCTAAATCCCTCCCAACACCCTTGCCCTTTTTCAACAGCGTGATCACACCCCTGGAAATCCTGTTGGGGATGGACCCCGACCGGAACCAGTTGTTGAACACCACAGTCAAAATCGGGACAAAGATGTGCGACAGCCTCAAGTACAATTCATAGGGAAAACCATCCAGACCGGGCGACTTGCCTCTGCCGATCTTCTTCAATTCCGCGTGAACCTCGCCTTCCGTGATATCTCTCTCGCAGCTAACCTCAGTCGGCGAAAGCCGAGGAAAGCCAGCCAAGTAGCTGCGAAACTTCTCACGGAGACCAGGCTCCTTAGTAAACCGGCTCCCGAAATGTCGCCGAAACGCCTCGCACGTCGTCAGTGGCCCGAAGAGTATGTCCCTCCGGGGTTTGACTTCACGAATGTAACAATCAGAACCTCAACAAATCTCTACCTTGCGCATATCTGCACCCCTCTTCACAGCTTCGGAAGACATCGTGCTTAACCTATGTCTAATTAACTGGCCCATGTAGCGCTCGATACTCAAACGCTCCAGGGTCTCCCTAGCTAAGGCTATCTCTAGGGGATGTCCCCAGCCACCGCCCGATAAAAAAACTAGCCTTAAGCGTCTTCACTTTTTCAGCTCTATCTAGGGTGAACCGTTTGCTGAAATCAGTGGTGAACAAACTAATCCTACTCTTAAGTCTCTCCCACCACTTATTACCGATAAACGCCCCCACTAACTCCCGCTGAACTAACCTAGTTAGCTGCTCTTGGAAGTCCCGCCTATCCAGTAAAGACAGATTGAACTTCCAGTACCCAGCCATTCTAGGCCTACGATCTAACGCCATCCGGGCA